AGGAAACGGGAATTGTTGGGGGTGCCGAAACCGATTGTCGTGAAAGAGGACTTGGTGTTGATGATTGGAAACCATAGCTTGTGGTCAATATTGAAGATACTCCCAAGAGCAGCAACAACGTCAGTGATGATTCATCCATAATCTGAAATCTCATTGTCACAGTAGGTGGCTTCAAGTTTTTGTCGTTTCGTTCGATAGATTGTTCCAGCGTTTTAACGTTTTGTGCTGCAACTTTATGTATTTATATATTTATATATGTGTATGTAAGATGCGATGGAGATTGCAACCTCTGCGTACCTACAGTACAACGTTTGTGTCGGTAGCAGATTGCCCCAGATGGCAGATTATTGAAGATGGATATCCCTTCAACATTGAACACCACGTCGAGTATTTGAGAAGTCGAATGGGTCCGTCGATTGATTCATTCATTCGTTCATTTTTATTGCTTGCATCCGTCGTCGACGTCCATGCGCGCATATATATTATATTCAATATACCGGTATGTACATACATGGACACGCTTTGCGATGATTGACAGACGTGCAGCTTCCGCAATTTGGAAAGAATTATTGATACTGATGAGCTACAGTAGCTGGTATCTGGCATGATGACTGCAAAAAGGCACATCAAATGCGATTGACAGCAAAAGAAGCTATAAAATACAGTTAGACAAAAGAAGATGGCAGTTCCCAAAGGAAACGTGGTATTGCCTCGAAATGAAGGACCCAAAGCTGTCATGTTTGACGGGAAGGTGTCCCCTCGAAGTGGACCCGCCAAGACGGTCATGTTTCATGGCAAGGTGGAACCAATTCACCGAAAAGACGAAGCAACAAAGGAAGACGTTCGGTGGTACACTGGGAATGAATACTTCTTTATGCGACGCAGAGCTACCAACTTGGCCAAACGATTGGAGGAATGTGATGATGATGATGATGGCGAAGATTGCAGTCGTGGGTTGGAGATTGTGGAATCCACTGCCATTCAGGAACGGTATTTAAAGGTTCAGAGACTAGTGCATACAGTGGTTGCAAAGCATAAGCAGGCTGCTGATCCGGAGGCGATTGCGGAACTTTCAAGAAAGGCTTCGCAAGATTCCATTCAGGAATCGATTCGATTGGCAAAAAATGATGCGAAACATGCCAAAAAGATTTTGTCGGAGACTCGAAAGGAATGGCATGGAAAAGAAAAGCTATCCACCATCAATCGAATCAAGCGTTTGTTCAAAAGGAGGAAGAAAAAGAAGAAGTAAGATTAAGGTGGAGGAATGATTCATTCAGTGACCACCACGACCATGCGAGTCACCGATCTTTGAAAGAATGAGAGAGACACGAGACACGAAGATCTCTCACATCAGTCATCTGAGGATATCTGAAAGCTGCCGTGATGAATTATCATGATGTGTGTTGGAGCGCATCATCAGTCACATCCAGATCCTTCGTATCCGTCACCTGAGGATTTCTGAAAACTATGATCATGGTGCATCATAATAATCATCACCATCATGCACGAATCATCAGCCGATGGTCAGTTATCTCTCGAATGAGTGCATCGATAATAAGTTGCTTGCCGAATGTTGAAAAGCACTGAAGGAAGTTCACGATGATTTGCAAATGTACTGACAAAGACCTCTTTTAGAATGTGAAGAAACGATGAACAAAGACTGTACTATAGGTACCGTAGAAATCATACAAGTCTGGCCGGGCGGACATTGACCCAAATATCGACTGGTACAGAGGAGAAATCGATTTCTTTTAATTTTTTGTGATTCCTTTCTTGGCGAAGAAGGCAGATGCCTTTGCCGTGTTTCGGGTACGAACCATCATCATCGCACGGCCGAGTTTTGTACTGTGTTTACAATTTGAACGCTTGCAACCACGGCGAATCAGGACGCGAGATTGTGAAGCAATTTTCTGGAAAACCTACAAAACAAAACAGGTGAGTGGAAAGAGCAAGTTAGTAGAGGTTAGAACACTGGTGATAGCATCTGAAGATAGAGTAGGGGATACAGGAGGGGGTAAACGCAGCCTATATGTTCGATCGCTCGTAATTTAAACAGTGAAACCTGTATAATACATACATTACTCGTACCGGTTCACGTGGACAATCGAAAGCAGTCCACCCCAAGACCCGATCGGCTACCCGTACCAGGGTACCACTGTGCGCAGCGGATTTATAGAAAGTGCTGGAAAGCACGATAACGGTACTACTGTACAACACGATGATGGCAACGCTTTCTCATACACGTGTACTGTAGGGGTCCCAAACCGGGCCGGCAATACCTCCGCGAATTTCTTTTATCCATTTGTGGCTAAGTATTTTAATAAATGCATTTGCTCGATAATTGGCAAAACGAACGCTGGTGTTTGGCGGAATCAATCTTCTCGCGAACTTATTCGTGTAAAAGAGGTACGACCTGGTACGAAACGCTTATTAGGAGTGATGCAAATCTCAGAGCCGGCCCCTACCGGTACCTGGTACCAGGGTACCCCCGACTGGTAAAATGAGTGCAGGCAATGGTGATGCCAGAGAATGACTGCCCTTGTTTTACTTTGTAAGGTCAGAAACACCATTTCGGCTAAACTTTCGGATAGAGGAATAAAACAGTCACAAACTATTAAATGTTTTCGTAGTTTCCAGTCATTGAATAGTACCGCCCACAATCCAGCAACCAATATGTCTCCCATTCGAAGAATTTGATTTTGACACCTTTTGATACGACCCGTCCTCTGAACCCTCACAAAACAATAATCTCTGCGTAATATGAAGGATCAGTACGCATCAGAAGACAACAGTAGAAGCGGCCAATCCCATGGCAACTCCACGTATGTTTCAGAATCAGGTTTCAATTCTTCTTCGGATGAGTTCAACCTCAAAAGAAAGGCCGATTCACCCACTAGGAACCTTGATTATGTTGCAATGCGAGAACACAAGGCTGTAAATCGATCAAAACTCTTGGTGGCATTGTTCCTGTTCCTTGCGGCCTGTGCAACCGCCGCTGCAACCTACCTGTTTGTCGAGCAGCAAGAGCGAAACGACTTTGAAGATCAGGTAAGTGATTGATTCGTCAATCATTCGATTATCCCTTCTGCCATCTTTTCAAGCTCTCACTTTGCATGTTGTCTTTTCATTTTCAGTTCCGAAGTCAATCGCATGAAATTGCGGCCGTGACAAAGCAGAAAACGGATCAACTTTTCAACGCCTTGAACTCATTCTCGATTAGCGTTGCGTCAGAAGCGAAAGCAACAGACCAAGCGTGGCCTTTTGTCACAATCAGTGATTGGTCGAGGAAGGCTCTGGCTTTGGGAGAGCTCATCGGTGTACCTGGAGCCACCATTGCCTTCTGTCCTGTAGTCAAGCCTGCTGACATTGGGCAATGGACATCCCATACTATGGAGGATGCTCCAAAGATTTACCAAGACGCTATTGACACTGAAGGCTTCAACATGACTATTGCTGAACTCATGACCAAGACTACTCCGTTGATTTTCCAATATGACATGGAAACCTATAGTCTCATCCCATCACAAGATACGGCCTTGCCTGTGTGGCAGAGCTATCCATTCGCGATGGAACCAACGACACAACGCACCTACACAAATATTGATATGATGGCATTCAAACAATTCAGCGACATCTTCTTTCTGACGAATGCTACCTTAAATACTACCATCGGCTTTTCTGAGATGCTAATAGAGAAGGGTGGCGGATCATCTCTACCAATCGTTTCGAGTCAGATCATGCAACCCATATTTGACACAACTGATACAAGAGCAGAAGACAGGGAAATGGTTGGAGGGGTCTGGTTGACGATGGAATGGACGAAGTACTTCGAGAGCTTCTTCACCGACGAAACTGATTCAATTACACTTGTTCTCGTGAACAGTTGCCCAACTTACAATTTGAATAATGAAGAGACTTTCAGGGAAGAAGAGGTGACTGTTGTCAGCTACGAGATCAATGGACAAGAAGCTACTTATCTGGGCGAGTACGATGCACATGATCCCCAATATGACGCTCTTGAAGTGACATCCATTCTCGTGGACCTTGATATAGAATCGTCAAGCATTCCCAGTGGTCAGTGCATCCCCAAACTTTCACTTCATCTCTACCCAACCGAACAATTCGAGGAAACTTTCCACACCGCGAAACGATTTCTATACACTGGGGTGATCATTGCCATCTTTGTTTTCACAAGTTTTGTCTTTCTGCTGTACGACTACTTTGTTGGAAGAAGACAGGTAAGGAATTTCTTCTCATGTACTTACTACTGTGTGCTTTTGGATGCCTTTCTAATGCGAACTACTATATAAACAGAGAAAAGTCATGGATCGCATCATCATGCAAGACCAACTTGTGGCAAATGTTTTCCCCACAGCTATTCGGAATCGGCTATACAATGGTATGGGAAAATCGGGGCGACCTGGTGGAAATTTCGTTGACGGGTTTGACAACGACTGCGAGGCCGACAAAGTCACCAATGGAGCACCGATGGCAGACTTATTTCCCAACACAACAATTATTTTTGCTGACATTTCTGGTTTCACGGCGTGGTCATCTGCCCGAGAACCTCAGCAAGTCTTCACGTTGCTTGAGACTATCTATGCGACGTTTGACAGAGTGGCGTATCGACATAATGTGTTCAAAGTCGAGACGGTTGGCGACTCCTATGTTGCAGCAACTGGTGTACCAGAACCAATGAAAGAGCATGCCGGTGAGTGTAAATATTCAGTGTATCGGAAAAAAGGTCTGCTGGACGAGCTCTTGCTCCATATTTCACCACTCGCCTTTCAAACCAATTGGTAAACAATTTGTGCTCACAACTTATTTGCTGCTTTTCATGAAATATATAGTGACGGCGTGTAAATTCGCTCGCGACTGCTTGAAGAAGATGAAAGAGATTACATTGAAACTCGAAGTATCTCTTGGTCCAGATACATCGGACTTGAAACTAAGAGTTGGTATCCACAGGTAAGTCAAGAAGACTATGGGCCATTAAACAATCAAAGTGCCAAGACTTACAATACTCTTTGTACCAGTGGTCAAGTTACAGCTGGTGTATTGCGAGGTGAACGCAGCCGCTTCCAGCTATTTGGAGACACGATGAACACAGCGGCTCGTATGGAGAGTACCGGAAGGGCAAACTGCATTCAGATCACAGCGGCCACTGCCGACTTGCTGAAGGAGGGTGGCTTTGAAAACATGATCATACCACGTGCAGAAAAGACATTCGTCAAAGGCAAGGGCGAAATGCAAACCTACTGGCTTCGTTCAACGAATTCGAAGCGCGTCAGAGCAATGGATACTGCTCATCGAATCGAATCGACGATTAGCGAAGAAGAAACGGCCGACTCCTCCTTCAGTGCTTCTGACAGGGCGGATGACCTTTTTGACATGAACGGCGTGGATAGTATGAACAAAACACAACGCCTCGTTGAATGGAATGTTGAAGTGCTCATGTCATTGCTGCAGCAAATTGTGATCTCGAGAGGGGGATCTCGAAAGAGCATCAAACCTCTAGAGGTTGCCGAATCCAACATTCGTTCTGGACAAACCATATTGGAGGAGTTCGTACCCATCATTCATTTGAAGAGACTAGACAATGATTCAGTTGACCCTCGGCAAAGCCCAATGAGTGAGATTGCTATTGGGGATGATGTGAAATCAGAGCTACGAAGCTTCCTCGCGAATATTGCTCAGATGTACACAGATAGCAATCCATTCCACAACTTTGAGCATGCTAGGTGAGTACGATTGGCATTGGTTCGAATATGACTGTCAGCAATTTTACTTCATGACCTCACTGTATCTGCGCCTTTATATATTGTATCTTATCAGTCATGTTACGTCATCAGTGAAGAAACTACTCAAACGCATCGTGAACGTTGACCCTGAGAATGGACTCACCCAGCCGAATGCGAGCAGCGAAGTCAACATGGTCGACTTGGCCGGTCATTCCTACGGTATCACTTCCGATCCGCTGACCCAGTTTGCTGTCGTGTTTGCTGCCATCATTCATGACGTGGATCATCCAGGTGTACCAAACACCCAGTTGGTGAAGGAAGGCGCTCCGAATGCAGAGCTGTACAAGAACAAGTCTGTTGCGGAACAGAATAGCGTCGACATTGCATGGAAGATTCTGATGGAGAAAGAGTATGAATTATTGCGAAGCTGCATCTATCAAACTGAAGGAGAGTTGTGCCGTTTCCGCCAACTGGTGGTGAATACAGTCATGGCGACTGATATTGTTGA